CCGGTTCGCGGTTCCAGTTCGGTTCGTTACCTTTCATGCCACAATGTAGCGATGAATCCTGTAACACCAGAATACGTTCTGCTCCAGTTCTGTCGGCACGGTACTTCTGCTTGACTTAGCAGACGATGACCGAGGCGACAGAAAATGAAGTATCTGCACTTACATGCCTGGCCGCAGACACAAGCTAGTGACTGCAATTATTAGGAGTCCGGGCTTCTTGCTCTGCTTGCCTTTTCTGCCAATCTCTGGACCAGGTTGCTGCTGCTGGGTGTTGGTTTCTATGGGCGTAAATGTTAATTTGCAGGGCGGAGGTGGTGCTGGTGGGGGGGGTGTGGAGCAAGCAGCAAGAAATGCCTGGCTTGGTTGGTACGTCGCCTCAATAGCATTTTTGCTCTCCGGACCTTGCCTGGGCAAAGAGCTTCCAAGGCAATGTCAGGCAACAGGATTGCAGTTTGCATCCAAGGCCGGATGCAATGGGGATTGGACATCTTACCAGTAGTATGTCTGCCAGCGTGCTGTTGACAGGACAATCAGCGCGCAGCTGGAGATTTGTATTACAAGGCCGGACTGCGCCTATCTAAGCCTAAGTTGTAACTGTGAGGAAAAACGCGCAATGCTAGGCCCGCTAGGCCTGCAGGATCCTGCAGGCATGCAGCATGTGCGTATGTTTATTCCTATAATATGCTGTCTGTCTGCCTGTCTGCATGTATGTGTATGCAGAGAAGAGCCGAAGCCCAGTTCGGGAAACACTGCTCAGCGACACCTCCTAACTGTTGAGCCACGAGCCTCATCTGGCCGAGCCGGAGTGGCAGAGACCAAGTGTATCGACTCTTGCGTCAGGCGGAGTTGAAGGCGGCAGTTTGAGACTCAGTACGTCAGTTGCGTACTTGGCTGCAGCAGTTCCCTTAGTCGCTGAGACATGCTGAGACCCCGACGGGAATCGTAGTGCACTGCTTACTGTTGAATGCTGGCCGCTGGCCTGCTTATGGTAGCATCCAGTATCGTCCAGTACTACGTGATGACGCATGAGGGGAGATGGTGCCATCTGCAGCACGTCGGATAAGCAATCTACCCACTGCGTAAGTCTTTTGAGGCGGTGGCTTCCGACAGTTCCGGTGGCAGCCTCAAGTAGTAATTAGGTAGTTCATTTTTTTCCAGCTTTGGCTTGTGGGGTCGTTCTGATACGGAACTGCAGAACTGAGAGCACGGAGAGTATGTATGTTTGTAAGTACGTACATACGTAAGTATGTCTGTATGGTTGTATGTATGTAGGTATGCATGTAGTATGTGTAGATGCATGTATGTCTGAATGTTGTATATATGGATGCAAGTATGCATGTATGCACGTATGCATGTATGTATGTATGTATGTATGTATGTATGTGTGCTGACAGCTGACATCTGACAGACAGGAGATGCATAGGTGACGTAAGAGTCTTGCTGGGAGACCAAGTGAGTGTCTGCTCGAAGTGTTCTGTGCTGCATGGCTGAAAGTTGAGTCTTTCGCTGGATGCTGTTGTCGTCAGGTTGCCTTACGCCTCGCCTGATGCGTTGAGAGCGAGTGCTAAAAAATGTATGTCTGTGTGTATGTGTGCATGTATGTACATGCGTATATATGCACGCGTGTGCATGCATCTAGCTATCCATCCATCCATCTATCTGTCTGTCTACACACATCCGGACGCCACGGAGTGGAGCAGAGTGCATGTCGGCTGGCTTTGGGATCAGAGCCGAACAAGTTGAACATATGGCCACGTTGAAGCCTGTAGGCTCATTCCGGCTGCGAGAATGGCCGACTACCCTGCGTCTGGCTGTCAGGGTGCGATCAGTGAAAGTGGCAGTTGCACGTGACAACAGCAACTCTCCAGAGCATCTTGCACGCAGGCTCTGCAGCGAGGAGTTTGCCCGGCAAAGCCAAGAAGAATCAACCACCCAAGTAAGCGGCGTCATGCCAGGCAGCTTGCGGCGAGCAACCCTGGTATAGAACTCAGATGCCGGTAGGTCGTTACATCTGGGAAGTGGTGGGTTCGCCTTGCTGCACCGAGGCTCAGCCTCGAAAGCCGCTGGGATGCTGGGCTCCCAGTCGCGAAGCGCATCTGCATGGATGCACAATGACGGGCGTTATGGGAGACCGAGCTGCTACGTGCTAACAGCCAACCAAACGCGTACGAGGCTGTGCGATGCTGCTGTTCTCCAAATTCTCGAATGGCACAGGCCCTCAAAACTGCGCGAAACCTCGCGATGGCACCCACATGAGAAAAACAACCCTGCGACCGGCAGCGTCCTGTTTGGCCCTTTGGTCGGGGTGTGCGATCCAGCTCTCGCAACAAGCCCACAAGCTTCCAGCAACACCTCCGTGAGACAGCGTATCATCTCACGGCGTGATATACGCGCCTGAGCGCATGGTGCTCTTCGCAGTCCGAGCATCATTTCTTGTGGTGTTTGCCTTAGGATCTTTCGGAAGTTCGTCAGAGAGAGCTGGCACAGAATGCTGCGAGATGTGCAGAGCCCAGCTGTGATATGAATTTCCTGTCGAAGAGACGACTTTGCGCTCGGCACCGGTCCAGGGTCCAATAGTCGCCCTGGAACCTCATGGTCCAGATCTCCCTATCCGATCATCTCTCAGGCTTGGACATGATCGCTGCCGGCCTCGGGCTGCTTCCTGACCATGGAAACGCTCCTTCGCCTGCTGCCGGATCCAAAGCTGCCGGCAGACTTTCTCACATCATAAAAAGAAGATGGGAAACCCCGGCTCGGATGACCGGATGACCTTCCGAGGCACAGCAGGCGTTCCAGGCCATGGCTAATGTCAGCCGGCCCCTTAAACGCTGTCTGCACTTGAGATGCGCTGACAGACACAAAAGCAGATTGACTGTGAGGGGACAAACTGAGAGACACGGAGCACGTGCTTGGCGGTGCTCGGCAGGTGAGATGCAAGCTCTATGATGTGACTGCTCACCAATGCAGAACGACCACACTCCATATTTCATGCATGGGGGACGGTCTTGGCCCCACTGGTGGCCGCAGCGCGCTCGGCGGCGGGGGGGAGGCGAGCATGGAAAGCAGGCGCTTCCCCCAACACTGCTGCGAAGCAACAGAAGCACAGGATCAGCAACACCACGTTCAATTCAGTGTGCCTTGCTTGAGCAGCAGCTCCATGTTTCAAGAAGCACACGAGAAAGTAGTGGTCAGGCACTTCTCATCTGTTGCTTTATATTTTTTCCCCCTCCCCCCGCGAACTACTACTACTTCTTCTTTTTGTGGCTTCTAGAACAGCAAAAGCAGTAGTAGAAGTGGATGTGGTTGTCAAGCAATGCTCGTCGTCGTCGTCGTCGTCGTCGTCGTAGTAGTAGTAGTAGTAGCAAGTAGTCGTCGTCGTAGTCCTGGCCATGGCTCAACAGCGGAGAAAAGCGTAGGCCCCAGGCGCGTGGGTCATGTTGAGAATCTGCTCGCTAAGGTGATGTTGCGCATTTCCTCGCTGCCATAGACGTCAATGCCATGGCGGTAACAGATGAGGACGTCTTGCAAAGCTCCGCAAAACACCCCGGCATGTTGGTATCGATGTGCTGGCTACATACCTGGACGCGCATGGGCTTGCTGGCTGCAGGAGCAAAGGGAGATCGCGTTGGGCCTTTTTCTTCAAGGCGTGCAGAGCTCAGCTTCAGACAAGCGTTTGAGAACACGGTGTGCTTCTAGTCCCACGGGCTTAGGCTGTCTTCAACCACAGCGAGGAGAGAGTGGGCACCTTCAACCCTTGCATGTACTAGATTACTAGATGCTCCGACAGGAACCCAACTGCATACAAAGCTTTGTGGGTCGGCGGTTGGTGATTCGCACCTTTCGGGCTGTCAATGAGGCAGGCTACCGAGTTCATCGAGCCTTTGCATGTTGTCAGATGCAGTCGTATGCATGACGGCGTGATCTTGTACGACACACATACCTGTGTCTGCAGGGCGAGGAGCTCTGCATCAGTTATGCTGAGCTTGCAGAGATGAGCAAGACCCGTGAGAACCCGAATGGAAGCAGTTGAGGAAGCATCTGAACATGGCAAGTGTTCAAACGAGGACACCAGTTCTTGTCGCAGCAGTACCACTTTCGACCAGAGTTGGTGCCCCAGGCCAGGTTTGAGTGTCACACGGATTCGGCTTTACCCTGCCCGGCCCTTTCTCTGAGCAGGTGCAAGAGCGTGATGCTGTGCTCAGTGCCATCCTTGTCCCGCCTGCTGTTGCCTCAGCGTGTACCCTCCGGAAGATTAGAAAATGCATCAGCCTGTAGGAATGGCTCCATGCAGAGCGCGGAGTCGGCCCATGGCTTAGGAAACAGCTCCTCTGCACTCTGCTGCAGACTTGTCTCAGAATGCAGCTGTCCATGACTCTGCGTCGCATGTGCATGCCACAGCTGCAAGCTCCGGCCTCGCACGAAAGCGGTCTCGAACACAACCAGCTCGGTTCAGAGAAAGAATGAGCGATGAAGAGTTTGCTTGCGTAGAAACGAGCATGATCAGATCAGTATATTTCCGAGAGCAGCTGCCCGGACCGAGTGCTGGAAAACAGCCTCAACAGAGGCTGCTACTCAGTTCTGTGTTTCCATGGCCGTAGTGATCTTGGTGTGGGCGTTCAAGTTTCCGTCGAAGATCTAGGAATCTAGGTCCGGAATGACCGAAACAATCAAGCCGTCAGTCAAAACACAGTTGCTTTTGTGCATCATACGGATCACCCGTAAGTCGTATTGTAGATGCATGTGAGCACAAGGCACAGATGTTTCTGGACGAAAGCATGGATCGTAATTTGGCAGTAGCAAGACGGGCCGTGACGAGTATCCTAGCATCGTATCACCCTCCGATGTATGGCGTTGATTTGAAGCAATGTGCGGTGGGGGCTGGTACACGAATCCGTGGTGTGTTAAGATTTGCAATAGACTAATGAGTGGGAGGTTAGAGAAGAAGCTTCGTTGTCTGGCTATCGTCCCCCACGAGACACAAGCCACACGGCAGCGGGACCACTCTACCAACTGAACGCAGCAAGGATATGTATGATTGTGTCTTCATTGCGTGCATGACGCTCTGACTGGCTGGCCAAACTACGAGAGTCCAGCCCCTCCCGCTAACTGTTTTCACTTCGACTGCGCTTGAGACCTCGCCAACATTGTCCGAGTTGTGAGAGTGTCAAACAAACCCCAACGCCTAAGCCCTGAACCCGAGCTTGTACATGTATCGAGTCGTATCCGTACAGCGAATTCTGCCAGCCGCAGAGAATCGCAACGCAACCATGCGAGTGAGGCTACGAGTCTGGTTCGAACATCGTTTTGTTCGGATAGACCCTTGTAGTGCAGACATGTCCGCTCCGGCGGCATTCGAGAGTGCAAAGCTGTGCTTGCTTCGCGTCTACAGTGTGGTTCATGGGACATGACTCACTTTGGAGCTGGCCCGTGTGGCAAGAATCGCTTGTGGTTTCCGACTCTCACCAACAGCAGCCTCAGGATGGAGCCCGGAGTCGGGAGTTCAGGAGCTGCAGTGTCCACCCTGAGCAAGCCCTGTCCATCATGCCCAGCGCTTGCAGGACCTCGGCAATGCTGCCGCAGCTGCTCTGGTTCAGAAGGCCGTGAGATCAAAGAAAGGGAAATGAAATACAAACTTGCAGAAAGAAAGGCAGATTGTCTGCTTTCCTCATGTCTGCAACACCTGACTTCCGGCACAGGTCAGTGATCTTTGGTCCCAGGCTGTTCCTCCTCTGCTCTTAGAATGGTCGTACACGGTACACGGCTTGCCAGGCCCAGGCCAAGTCTGCAGGTAGTAACGCTTGTTCCCCGGTCTATCACCATGCATTTCTGGTCTGCAAAGCTGCGTACAATCAGTACAAGCAAAACCGGTGCGGCTGTGCTCGTCGTGCCAGCAGAACTCACCTTAGTCATAGTCGGTAGCAATCACCTCAGGTTGAATTGTTACTCCTCGCGTGGAGAATAGCTACATCAGGCTGGACCTTTCTGAGGCTCTACCATTCATTCCTGCATGCCTCTTATCCCACATGACCGTAGTAGGCTCTGACTTCCGCTTGGGCGAAGGCCGAGCTTTGGTGGCTAGGACGGCCAACTGGGAAATGAGTCCTGTATCGTCAGAAGTTCGCGAAGTGCAGGCCACCTGCTTCGATGGACTCTAGCCCGTCTGACTCTCAAGGAGGTAGCTTTGAGTGTGCAAGCTGCTTGTACCAGGGGACGAGTGACGAGGTGAGCTGATGGATGCCTTTGTTGCTGCCAAGCAATGGCAAGAAGCCTTGGTGGGGCCCTGAAGCCTCGCAACTTAGCACGTGAGGGTGGCAGCTACAACAGCGAAACGAGCTACCTCCAAAGAATTCGATCCAAAGAGGAATCCGTTGTGTGATCGCTTCAGGACTAGATGTGTGAAGCTGCTACAGCAACCATGCGCCGCTTCGCTCGGCCCTGCCTGCCAGGCATTCGCAAGATCTGTCTCCTCGATTGGCCGCCAAGTGTTGCTCTCAGCCCGCCGTTTCGGTTGACCAGCTGCTGCATCGACGTCTCAGATACTTCCGCTGAACTGGCCAGTGGTTTCGTTGAGCTCCTACCTAAGCCTGGATTGGCTGGTGAAGAGAAGAACTGAGAACTGCACATCCCGCGTCCCGCATGCAGGCCTTGCAAGACTTGCGAAGCTGGAGCTCTACCATGGAAACTTCGTGTCTCGGTAGACACCTAGAGCCTGGACAAGCGGACAAAGCCGCAGAGGCAGAGTGTGGGTGTCGAGTTTAAAGAGCATCCTGAGGCCAATGCTTCACGCTGTTGCGAGGATGCGCTCTACGCTGGAGGAGAGTGTCAAATTGAGCGTCAAAAATCCTCATCAATCATTAAGTACCACGTCCCCTGACATCCTGCAGCAGTGCAGTGAATGTGCTTCAACCTTCCAGGCCAACAGCCTTCGCCATCGGCTCTGTATTGGGATGATCGCAAGCGGCTGAGCATGCAGAGAATTGGGCAGACTGCCACCCAAGAGGGAGAGAGAGAGGAAGAGTACGGAAGATACAAGTACGTGTACTTTCCACCGTCCCTTCAGTAAGCCCCAAAAACTGGGAGAAAGTGCTGAAGAAGAGTCAGAGTGAGCAAAGACAGACCCAAAGAAGAACCTCCAGACAAAAAAAAGAGAGACACAAGAGATGACATCCGCACTGAGTCCCAGGGCCAGCGATCGCCAAAGAACTGCAGCAGGTCTTGGCTCAGGCACCCAATGTAAAGCACCCACTGCACTAAGTCACTGAGTGCCACGTGCCGGTTCTGGTGCTCCCGACCCCATGCCGACATTCTGGCAGGCCAATGCTGAGGCTCGGGCGATGCCCAGAGGCAAGCCCATCTGCACACGGTTGCACGTGTCTACATTGCCGAAAGCGTACATGTTCCTTATCCCTGCATCCAAAGGTTGTTCGCTTGCTTGTGCGACCTTGCGCTTTTCAGGGCTCGAGTCATTCTTAGCTACGGCGCTAGCGATGTGAGACGAAGCCGTGGTCTTCCTCCGATGACGCACGTGCCGGGTGCTGAGCTTCACTCCTTTTTTAGCTCATCCTACTATATTCAAACATTACGATGACCAGCAGACGCCGCGGGGGTCGTGTGTTGGTGCCAGGAGTTGAGAGAACGGCTGCTGGTGTCATGGACATTGCAGTCGAGGAGTTCTGCGATTTTCTCTCCCTGCCACATGACCTAAACTCGAAGTCTGTCGAGACATTGGCGATAAAGTCTTTCATTAGCCGACCATCATGGAATCTAAGGCGGGCACTGCCTGGCTGGATCATCGATCAGATACGAGTAGGTTCCGAGGAGGACGACTGGCAGATCCGCATCTCTTGGCTTCCTCGGCAGCCTTGTTAGGTGAACCGGCTGTGCATTGCAGGAGTGCGCCCTTGCCCAGCCATCAGGACTTGGGGGAAAGAGCTTGTTTTGGATGGTGACGACTGGGCACTTGAACCCGACTAACTTTGCAGCAGGAGGGAAGTTCTTCACCGACAATGGGCTGGCAAAGCTGGGCATCGCTCACCCGCTCCATCGTCGGAGAATACTTCGAGAGCTAGAGTGCTTGAATCAAATTAAACATCCTGAAAGCCTGGCGGCGAAGTCTGGATGCACCTCCCGTCCTACTACTCCATCGGAATGCTCCCAGGCACTGCGAGACTTGCGAGACTTGCAGCAGCTGTGTCTAAAGCGACCGCAGAGGACCGCGCGAAGGCGTTCCTTTGAGCAGGACATGCGATGGCCTTTTCTTTTGATCGAATGTTTTCCACAGAACATTAAGAACACTGGCTCGAAGGCAGCCACGGAGCTTTCGGATCACGCAACTCGAGGAGAGAACTCACATGCCAGGCGCCGCCAGATGAAGGCGTCTACCCTGTTTGGGGCCTCCGACAGCACCGACACGCAAGCAGAGGCGCCGGTGACGGCGCAGTCGACTCAACGCTCTTCTGCAGCAGCTGAGGATCAACAGAAAGTAGAGAATTGCGGTCGTTTGGATGGTGCCGAGCATGTTGCGGAAATAGAGGAACCCGAGGAAGTAGAGGAAGAGGAAGAGGGCGATGTCATGGGCTGGGAAGCATGGCTTCAGAGCCGCCTGCACTCCTGGGGGATGTTGTCGCTGGTGGATGACATTCTTCATGCTGCCTGCAAAGGAAACTTGTCTGTCTGCACGGACATGATGGACAAGGTGGCCATGCACGGAAGTGAGTTTCAGCAGTCTTTGGCCAAAACCCCACTGCCATCGTACATACATGCTGCCCTTGTCCTGCCACCTCATGTGGTTGCTCCAGCCAACATTTGGGATTGGCTGCTTTGGCGCCTTGATCTGTTGGAGGAAGCAGAGTACCGCATCACTACCTTGCTTGGAAAGGCCTCGAACCTGCTCGATTCGATCATGGGCGCCTCTGGTCGTGGCCCAATGCGAACGGACTCGGTGAAGCAAAGCTCAACAGACAGGCGCCGAACCGTCAACGTCAAGAAGCTTATGCAAGTGCAGGGGATGCTCTTGCAGGCACCCGAAACACCAGCAAGGAGCAACAGCAATCAGCCTTCAAGGAACAACAGCGTTGGCAGCCAGGCCCCAGCAAGAAGCAGCAGCGTGAATAGTAATACTGATGGTGCATCAGAGAAATCCGGCCCGAAGCTGTCAGGCTTCCAAAGATTCAAAAGAATTGCGAGCCTGGTTCTCTCCCACGTACGGGCCAAGAAGCAAGACGGCCTGGTCTTGAATACAAAGCTCCTGACATGCATATCAATGCAAACAAAGGTAACGCAGACTCAAGATGAGTTGGCATCCTTATTGAAGGAGGTGGATGAATGGCCACCCCTTGTCAGTCAGAGCCGCAGCGTTTGTGAGGAGATGAGGGGTCGGCTTCGCGAAGCATCGCAAACCCTTTTCGAGCGTTTCGTGGACCTTCGACAACACATCGAGGTCGAGCTGCGCGAGGTAACTCTCGGTGATCAAGGCATCGTAGACTGTCCGCAGCTCGAAGGCAAGATCATCGACACCCAGCGTGAGCTCTCAAGCTCCTTACTGTTGGGCGACTTTGCATTGCAGAGGGCGGACCAGCTTGGTGTGAGTCTGCGGGCTCAAGGAATTGAACCACCCCCCAACCCTTGGGAAGGGTGTGTTCAACTCGTCGAGCCCCCTTGGGAAGCAAGCTTCCTGAGAGCCTTGAGAAAGTTGGAGCCGCTGAAGCGGAACTTGAATGTTCGGAGGCAGGGAACGACATATGTGGACTCGGTCCTTCATTCAACCTCGGAGAACAGAAGGACTGCGGCCAAAAGTCCTGTGAATCCATTGCGTGTTGACATGCACTGGCTACACTGCTCTGTGCTCACAGGAGCTTGAAGACGCCACCCAAACAACTCCGGGCAGGATTGTCAATTCCTGAAGATCTGCTCTCGCGACTGAGCGCCAGATAGGCCCCATTTCCTGGCTTCAGCTCCCCCCGAAAACTCCGGTGGGTGCTTGGGCTGCGTTCTCCTGAATAGCAGGGGATGTGAGGCCAAAACGGCTTCGTGCCCAAAGACCACATGTAGCGAACTCGCGCTATGCCTGGCCTTGAGCTCTTGCCACTTCACCCAGCCTTCATGTGAAGCATGCTTGTACCACGGAGCGCGATATGGTTCACTGCGATCAGCTACCCCAGCAGTGCATGCACACAGCGCAACATAACACAACACAGACTGCAACTTATAGCCTTATAGCCGAGCACAACTAACACGGGGCATTGTGAAAGGGTGAGCTCGTTTAAGGAAGGCCTGCCACTGGGGCAGCGGCATGGCCGCTGCGTTTGGCGGATCATGATGTGCGGCTCCGCATGGGGCCCCGTGCTTCGCACCACTGCTTCTCGGCTCCAGCAATCAACGGCCAAGAAGTTACTTGGATATTTGCCGCACATTGTAGACGTGTGCGAATGTCTGGTCTGTCAATGATGAACCGGTTCACTGGAAAAGGGAGGCGGTCTTGCACATGAGCACATTAACAACTGCACAGGCTATGGCATGACTGTGCCGGACAGACTGGATGCTGTGGAGCCCTTTCTCAAAGACCTGTTCGAGGCGGGGAGGTACACAATCATGAGTCTTTGTACAACAGAATCTCTAGTGTAGCTGCTAGACTGATGCTTGCTGCTTTTCAGGAGCTGAGGTGCCGATGCGAAGAGGAGAAAATGCAGTATGCAGCCCAGATGCACAAGTTTGTTTGCCTGTCGAAGCAGGTTGGACGCACGGTCGTCTATGTGTTGGACTTGAGCGACGTCAGCAGAGAGAGAGAGAGAGAGAGAGAGAGAGAGAGTAGCCATTTTGGCTCAAGGGCGGCCACGATCTTTCCTTCCTGTATAGCTGAGCCCGCTGTGGAAACAACCCATGGGGGAAAGACGGCCGCGGGTGCGCGCACGCACACTCCCAGGGCAAGACCGCCCTGTGTGCCTACAACGACTTCGTTGACGCCGACGTCTTCGCGAACTCAAAGGGGAGGTTGGGGGGAGAAGGGCTCGTACTGTGCCCACGGGCCTGGACCCCCCCGCTTCTCCTCAAGTAACTAAGTGTTAGCGGGGGGGAAGGCACCTTGAGCCATACGACCTCACCGGCAAGTTCGTGACCCTATATCGACTTCGCAGTGGGGGGGACTGCAAGGACCAGCTCGACTGCTTTCTAAAGCTCTATACCTCGCTCCACCTGAAACCCGTGGGGGACTCAACCTTCTCTGCAACGCAGTTCTTCGAGTACCAAAACATTGGACGGGGGAGACCTTCACATACCAGTTCGTGATAGTGGCAGGACGGGGGAGATCGCAAACTTCGCTCCACTGGTGGACTCGATTTCCTCTGTCGAGAGGGGAAATGGCAGCTGCATATGAGTCGCGTCAAAGCAGCAGCTGAACCTCCCAGTG